GAATAAAAACGAACGCAATAGGATCTGATGGCATTTCCATCAAGATGATTAAAATTGCCCCTACTATCATTTTCCCTGTTCTATTGCATATTTATAACCTGGGATTAATGTTGGATCGTACATTGTCTTGGCGAGAACATGTGAAAAAAATTTGGCGGAAAATTTTCATGACATTGCAGCAGTTGAATGGGAGAAAACACTCTATTCCGACAGCAACTAGATTATTACTAATTAAGTCTCTTGTACTACCCTTTCTGGATTACTGTTGTATCGTATATGATGACATAACTGATGAATTAAATTGCAAACTGGAACGGGCATTTAATGCATGCATTCGTTTTGTTTATGATATATCTAAGTTTGAAAATATCACTGAATATAGAGTTAAATCAGGACTATTGAATGTTCCTTGGTGGGCTCATTAGCAGAAGGAGCTTTGTAATTAATTAAATTAAATAAATAATTATATACCCAGATCACATCCGTGTATCGACGTAATAGGGTTGTAAAAAGATTGCTCATCGATGGGTGTTTGTCAAGTTTGCTTGGTAACAGGTCTGGTCTAAGGTTACACTGTTAAAAATTTTTGTAGGATTTTTCAGAAACAAGCAACGGAAGTTTTTTGCAGTTACATGTTTCGTAAAATTTAGAAACGTTTTATTATTTTCAGATACATAGGACAGAATAAATATTCCGTCCAATTCTCCAAAAATTTTGTTACAGTTTCGTAATTTTAAGTAATGCGTAACAGCATAAAACTTCCGTTGCTACTTTCTGAAAATTTTGTTACAGTTTCGTAATTTTCTGTGACACGTCACAGCTTTAAACTCCCGTTGCTGTTTACTGAAAATTATGTTACAGTTTCGTAATTTTCTGTAACACGTCACAGCTTTAAATTACTGTTACTGTGTCCTGAAAATTATGTTACAGTTTCGTAATTTTTCGTAACACGTCACAGTTTGAAATTTTTGTGACAGTTTCGTAATTTTTTGTAACACGTTACAGTTTGAAATGTTTGTAACAGTTTTGTAATTTTCATGTTTGGTATACACGGAAAAAAAAGTACGTGAATCCTTCCTTGACAGTGCTTGGCTTTTGGATAGGACACAAAATACAAGGCTGTTCCATATACTTTTTATTAGAAAATATAAGAAAGTCCTCGAATTGTATTTTGTGTCCTATCCAAAAGTCAAGCACTGTCAAGGAAGGATTCACGTACTTCTTTTTTCCGTGTAGAGTGTGAATTTAGTTACATATTGCTTAATAATCAGAACTGTAGCAATATTTTCAATGATATTTTAGTAGCTTTAACATAATTTACATTAAATTACAAGATAATGAATATTCCAAAACTGTGACAAAATCCATAGTGAAAATTAAGTTAAACTCGATAATATTCAAGCTAATGGAATTAAAATTTGTATGTAGAAAAGTAATTCAAAAATGTTTTGAAGAAGAATGTTGAAAAATAACATTTAATTGATATTTTGTATTGAATTATTGGTGAAATTATATTATTGTATTATTTAAAATGAATATAGTGTAATATGCAAAATTTTATTATTTCTTAGATTTCCTAAAAATTTTGTTTTATTTCATTCAGTTCTAGGTTAAAAAGTATTTAAATATAAGTATTTGTGGGTTATAAATAAATTTGATTAGAAAAGAACTGCTGAATAATAATAATATTTATTTCTTACTTTTTGTACATAAAAAGATAAAGAAATTAAAGTTGAAAAAATTGTAAAATTATTTGTTCAAAAAATATTATTTATATTAATAGTTAACTATTTGTAAAGTATAAATATATTTAATATTGTGTAAATTCTGCAATCTTTTTCGACAGTATTAACACTGAAGCACTTATCAAAGTACGTCGCCGTTTTGCGCCAACTGCCCTTTTATCTGTATGTTCGGTAGGATTAATTTTAAAAATTACCCTAGAAAAAGCATTTTAATACATTTAATAAAATATTTATTTATTATTAAAGTTATTTCAGTCAAATAAACATAACATTTTGCTTTTTAATAAACATTGTACATTACCTTTGAAGGTATTCTAAAGACTCTGCAGCATCTGATGGATAGGAATATCCAAAGACATAGTAACAAGAAAATGTTATTAACAATCCTTGAAGAACATTGTTTACTTCAATAAGAACGTTCTTCTCCAAAACTATATAACATTTTGCATTTTCATCATAAAAGGAATCACCTGAAAAAATAAATCGTAATTAAAGTATTTCTTATTTATCTATAAGGAACTAAACAAAATATGTTGTTAATATTGTGAATTTACCAGCAACTATTAAAGTTGGATGAAGATTTGCCTTATTTTTTATTTCCTCACTAGAAGCTCCAATCTATTAAAAATATAAACAAACTTTAAATAATACATCTATTAATAGCAGTAATATTTATAATATTTTAAACTTACATTTACAAGGGTTATTAAGTGTGAATCTTCTTCTTTCATATAGGCCATTATGAGTCGAAAAATTACAATGCTGTGTGGTATTTCTGATTTAAGCAAATCCTTCATTCTTTTGGCTTCAGATAATAAGTTTAACATTTTGTTGCCTAAATTATGTGCTTTTTCTTTGCCGTTTTGTAACTCCCTGCTTAGCATTTTCAAATATTTTCTTGTTTTTTGCCCATTTTCAGAAAGAAAATTTTGCCAAATTTCCGTCAAATTTTTTCCCATCAAATGCGAAGCGTGATTCATTAAATGCTCAGGAATGTATAAGAATGGCCACCTGTTAAATATATCTTCAATCCTTCTGTTTTGAGAAATATTTATTTCTGTTCTCAAAGAGGGATATGTGTCTCTCAAAAGAATTGGTATCATTAAATTTTCAAAATTTAATGTGTTATAAAATTCCACCAATTCTTGCCTCTTTGTTTCTTGACCTTCTACAGTCTCTCCGACTGTCAACTCAGGTGCATATTCCACATCAACAAATTTTTAAATGGTTAATTAAAATTCTTTTGACGAATTTCAATAAAATTTTTAAGAACAATTTTATTTTTCGAGAAATTATCATTTTATAATTGAAATTTTGACTATAACTTTTCTTAAAAGAATTTTTCATTAAAATTGTTGAAAATAATTGAATTTTGGAGAAAAATTTTAATATTTTTTTATAAAGATAATTGAAATTTTGACGATAAATTTTTTAAACCTTTGACGATAATTGGATTTTTACGAAGAATTTTATTACTTTTGAAAATAATTGAATTTCTTTGATGAATTTGAATAAAATTGTTAAGAATAATTATACATTTTTTGACAAACTCCATTAAAATTGTATTAAAAATAATTGAAATTTTGTGATGAGTTTTATTATTTATGAAAATAAAAATCTATAATTTTTTTTATTATTTATGAAAATAATTGAATTACTGCGAAGAAAAATTGTAAAGGCAACTCTTTAAAAATTGAATTAAAGAAAAATTAAATTTCAAGAATAAGCACAATAATTTAAGAAAACAATAATTGTCCACCCAGTAAACAAAAACTAATTGAAGTAAATTAAAAAGAATTCACAAAGAGTTTCAGTGAATCCCGCTTTGTGACAAATATGAATTGGAGCTATGTAGCAATTTTCCTGAATTCGTCAAACTGTATTGAACTTCCAAACCTTCTATTCATTCTAATTCAATGGACCAGTTTTGGGGCCTTTAATTTTTTTCAATTCGTCAGCACGAATTCAATGCATGCCTTGGTCATTTCTTACGAATGCGAATTCGTTTGCACAACTTCAGGCAAATTGAATTGAATTCAATCGAATATACAAACAGCTTGAATGAATCCCGCTCTCTACCAAAAATCTTAATTCATTTCAATCCGTTTGAATTAGTTTTTTTCTATTGGGCAGACTTCCCTGACTTTTCCAGGTTTTTTCAAAGTTTATAAAAATTCCCTGACATTTCCAGGTTTTCCAGGTTGCGTGGCAACCCTGAATAATAAATGGAATAAAATATGTTCAAAATATAAAAAAAATGTTAATTAGGCTCAATAAAAAATCTTTTAAGTAAACAATTTTTAAATTGAATCAAGGTAATCGTAAACGTAATCTTAAAAACTTAAAGAACTGTGGCTCAATTCTTTTTCTCATACAATATTAATTATAATAGAATAGAAAGAAAATTTAATTCTTCAAATTAAAAAAAAGAATTTCAATTTAAAAACAAAAAAATCTTTAAAGTTTGAAAACTTAATTTTATATTAATATTTTATTTGAAATAAATAATAAATCTTTAGGATATATATATTAAACATTGCAAACATTGTTTTATTACGTATTTAAATATAAATTTTATTACGTTTTTACAGTTCAGTATTCGGTTGTTAGCTTTACATTTAACTTAAGTTAGCGGCTTAGTATACACTCGTAATACCTTCTGGCAACATTATTACATTAAGTCTGGTTTTAGTCTCTAAATCAGTCTTGAATTTTCCTATTATTATAAAGTAGAACTGTTTAATACTTTTACTTTATTTGATAAGTCTTAAAAATTTTTTAATCTTAAACAATAATTTTTCATTTAAATATTAATAATAACTTGAAATAAGAACAGCCTTTGGTTTCTTATTTTAATATCACAACTCACGTCCTTTAACTAAGAATATAACCTTTTTTAAGAATAGTTTCTATTTAAGTTGCGCTTTAAACCAAAATCAATGAACATTAATTTTTTTTTCGGTAAAATTTACATTCGTTAAAATCATTAAATTTTCATTCGAAATCAGTAAAAAAAGTATAGTCGTACTTTTCAATAATTAATAAAAAATTTTAAAAAAGAGTTATTTTGAAATGATGTTTAATTTTACAACAACAATTTATATTCACAATATAAATTGAGTAAGGCAAATTACTTGAAAATTAGTAATTTTCATTGATTCAGATTTAGGTAATAGATCAAGCATGATCAAAGGCAAAAATCGCGAAAAATAAACTATAATTATTTTTTTCTCTTTAAAAGAGACAGGCAAGTAGAAAAGTTTTAAATTATAAAAAGAAAACTAGAAAAGGAAAGAATATTTAGAAAATCGAAATTGGAATGAAAAACAAACGAAGTTTAAAAAAGATAGAAGATGCGAGGTAGCTGCAAATTCACCGCTTTTTTGGCAACGGAGGGAAATTTTTGTCCGTTTTGGCCAGTTTCTGAAATGAAAATAAAAATAAAATTAAAAATTGCTTAAAATTCTCTTATAACTACAGGCTTCGCACTCAATAACTAATTTTAAAAAAGTATTTTTAAGACTGAAAAATTAGGAATGGAAAAATTAAATTTGACGACAAAAGAAACTCTTTTTGGTTAATTCCTAAAACTTGTTTTTCTTATTCTATTAATAAATTTAATTCTAAATTTTTCTGATATCGAATTTTCTCCATACCTTTAATTAACTTTTTCGTAGTATTTTTTAAATAACATTATTCAAAAGTTTCATCATTAATCAAGAAAATAGTAAATTAATAATTTTCTAAGACTTACATTTGGTGATTCCGCATTATCTTTTGGATCTTCGAGTTTGCGACGAGATATATCCTGACCTTGATCGAAAGTTTGATTTGTACTGTTAGAACATGAAGCATTTGCAGCATCAGCTGGTTGAAAAGTTGACAATTTTTCATTTTGGAAAGTTTCAGTAGTTGACGGATTTGCTGCAGGTTGTGAAACTGACGAAAATTGTGGTGGATCATTTGCTTGATGAGTTTTAGTTTTGCTATTCAAGTTCGGAGGTGGCACATCTGGTTCTGTTCCAATTGGTGGAGATAAAAATCCAGCGTCCAAATCATCTTCGGTTGCAATTTCGTCATCCACTAATTCGATGTCCTCCATCCTTGCTACTTGTATGATCAAATTTTCTCCACTCTCTCTCATACTCCCTTTTACACGTACATGCTTCCCTTCGTCGAAAACATTTTCCTTAAATGTCGTAACATTTATTATTAATTTATAATGAAAGTCCGTCATTAAGCCACATCCATAAGAAAAGTTATTATGAATAACATTTTCAATTTCAAGTTTAATGAACCCTTCAATACCTGAAAAATATAAAAATACATATAAAAATAAAAAATATAAGTAATTGTAAATAATTAGATAAGTATATTAAATGGTGTAAGCATGAATGGAACAAAATTCAAATCTAACTAATTTAAACATAATAAAAATAAGTAAGTTTAAGTATCGTAATTAAATCTTTAATTTCTCTTCCATAATATAAAATAAAAATTTGAAATAAATAAATAACAAAAAACAATTATAAAAATAAAAAACAATAACATTAAAATAACAATGAAAAATAATAAAATTAAGCGCCGTAATTTAATTGATAGATTATTTTGAATAATGTAAAATAAATAAAAATACAACAATGTAAATAACAATTAAAAATATAATTTCAAAATATGTAAAGTAAAATTTTTTTTAAAATAGAATATTTAAATAAAAAATTATGTCGTGTAAATGTGCTAAATAAAATATTCAAATATTAAGAAATTGTTTAAGTAATTTTTCACTAAATACACATTATAATTAGTAAAAATGAAAAAACAAATAAGTTTAAGTACCGTTATTTAATCTTTAAATTCTCTTCTATAATTAAAATATGAAATACAAATTAATAACATAATAAAAAAAACATAACATAATAAAATACATAATAATAAAATAGAAATAATAGCATAAAAAAATACAAGAAAAATAAAAAAACTTAAGTGCCGTATTTAATTTGTTAAATTATTTTGAATATAAAATAAATAAAAATACAACAATCAATTATACTTACACACACGTTTTTTAAGGTGTAGGCCAGCATTCCGTAGGGGAATTTCTTCGAAAAGTGCTTCAGGCTGCACCGGCACCAACGGTGGAACGTATTCCAAAATGTCAATTTTCGTCTGTTTTAGGATTGAAATTTCGACTATCACAATATCGCCCACTTTTCGGTATTGATCCTTTATGGCTAAAGCTTTGGCTCTCTTGATTTTAACAACCTGTAACAGAAACAAAAGTATTTTTCATTTACGTAATAAAAACTATATGTATATTTGTTTTTTATTTAACACTTACATTGTTAACGAGCTTTCCTGTGAACTCTGATGCCCTGTCCTTCCAGAATAAAAGCTTAAGTGTGCGGCCAGATAAGTTGTCCAAAACATAACGTACTGGTCTCAAAGAGTCATTGCTTTGATTGTTCCGATTATTTTGATTTTCATTTTGCGCGGATGATTTGACTTCTTCCATTTTTGTGATTAGTCCTGTTAATATTCTGTAACAATATTAAAAACAAAATATTTTAATAAATATAAAAATTATTTAAGGTTATGTTATTCAGTGTGACGATTTTTTTTTCTATAAATTCTATAATATCTATCTATCTATATAATAATATAATAATAAAGTATATGGGGCATGTGACCAGTGGATAACATAACCTTAAAGAGGCAGTTCCAAAAAGTAGAAAAATGGCGCTAATGCACACAACATCGATGCATGGGGGAAGGAGAATTTTTGAAAAAAAAACGTTTGGTATTTTTTTAACGGCTTTCAAATTATGTACAGTACTTTTCAATTACGCCCTCATAGTTTGAACGTGTCGCACTCATGTATTCCCATGGAAATATATGAGTGGGACACGTTCAAACTTGAAATATATAATTGAAAAAAAACTACTGTACAATATTTAGATTTTACTATTATATAAATATTTCACATTTAAATATATAATTAAAAACTTTCTTACATTGTTTGATCTCCTATTTTAAATGAGTCAATTTCTTCATTGCGGGTAAATTTATGTTTCTTGATGAGTGCTTCCATCGCAGATTCTTCCAGAGACTTTTGGCACAACCGAATATCACTGTAGTTGAAAGGGAAAAGAACGAACAGGAAGCGTGGACTAACGAAGAACGAACAAAGGAACAATCCCAAAGTCGTTCTAAAACAGGTTTACTAAAGGTCCCATGCTTCCATGTCAGCGTGAAACGGAAAACGTTAAACCAATAAGAATTTTCTTTTAGATGATTTCCATTGAATCGGAGGTTGTTATTGGCTAAACGTTTTCCGTTTTCACGCTGATATGGGACTGGCCTTTAAAGTATAAAGGTGAATCCATAAAAGTACTTCCACAGCTCTTTTCGACAACTGCCTGCCTATCGACAGTCGTATAAACGTACCCTAATCTCAGATGTCATCCCAGTAAAAGAAATTCTCCAAAACTAATTTTTACGTCGACGAAAGAACGTTTTTGACTTTAAGTCAATTGTTGACATTTTGAGGGTACGTTTGGTTGGTTCCAGAATGAGCCAAAACGCAACGAAGACGCGACGCGTCCCAATGCTAATCAATGGGGACGCGTCGCGTCTGCGTCAAGTCCATTCTGGAACGACAAAGTATTTTTAAACTATTGTAAATACACCTTTACAGATTCATGTAAAGGCGATTTTGACTTTTTTTCTAAATTTCTTTTCTATCGACAGTCGTATTAAAATATGTACAGTAGTATTCAATAAGCATACAGAGCTCACAATAGGAACAAAATGTAAGTGGGGTAAACCAACGCGCATATTCGATGTAAAGATTATAGAAGTTGTATATTGTAGAATTGTAGACTTAAGGCCTCAGCACAACTGCATGAGATAGAAAAGGACACAAATAGAGCTCTGTCGGTTTCTAAAGTCCAACGCACAATAGGTTCGCGAAAGTCGTTCGCGAACGAGACGCATGAGATAGAAAAAGACACAAATATATCACTGCCCTTTTCTAACTCATGCTTTGCGTTCGCGAACGACTTTCGCGAACCTATTGTGCTTAGGCCTTAACTCACGCTTTGCGTTTCCGAATGACGTTCATGAACGCAAAGTATGAGTTAGAAAAGGACAGAGATACATTTGTGTTCTTTTTTATCTCATGCGTCTCACTCGCGAACGACTTTCGCGAAATTATTGTGCGTTGGACTTTAAAATGAACATTTTGACAATAAGAGTTTGATAGGAGACGGCCGCTTGCGGCCGTCGACTTTGCTAGTCGAATATAATTTAGATGGAAAATGAAAAAATTTCATGAATTTAGTCAAAAATCAAGATTTTCAAATTTTCTGTAAAAAAAATATTAAAAAATCGACCAATTTTTTTTTCAGAAATTTTTAAAATCGTTTAAAAACTGATTTTTTCATTTCTTATCTAAATTATACTTGAAAAACAAGTTTTTAAAACTGTAACGAAGGCATACTGCATTTGCCGCGCCGAGTATAAGAGTAAGCGAGAGACGACGGCGCGCGCATAGACGGATCTCTCTCTCTCCCCTTCCACGCTCGCCTCGCTGGCTCACGAGAACGAGATACCTCGTTGCACGGGACTTTCTAGTCAGATCGTCTACCGACGCGGCTCGAGGTGCTCTTCGAGTCCAACAGAGTACGATCTCACCTGAGGGGCATTAGGCTTATACAGAGGTGCTCTTCTGTGAAGTATAATGCTTTCCAGAGTCTGTACGTTCTACCCAGGAGCTCTTAGGTCGAACGAACATTCTCTCTAGCAATGTTTGACAGCCGACCAGGGGAGCTCTCGTGGAAGGTGGCCGAGCATACCTGTCGATGTTACCTTGCTTTCCACCCCCGGTGAACCGAGGTGCTCTTCTGTTCACCTGTGGTGTTGTCAAGGGCGCAAATTCTTATCCCAGGTGCTCTCAGGAGTAGAATTTGCGCCTACTAGTTTCACATTGTCGTAATTCTCGCGTAGGCAAGAGTTTCGGTAACCTGCCGAAATTTATAAATTAACTCCTCGAGGTTCCATGGTTAATTCCTAGAAGTGCGCCACAAGGTAATCGTCGGTGTCGGGATTAACGGGAACTTATTCTAGAACGGTTTCGCAAATGTGTTTTAAGTACGCCCCGGAAGGCAAGCAAGGGTTAATTTTATCAATTATTATTTTATTCTTTTCACAGTCATCCAGCGGACAATAACCCCGTGGCAGAGTAGAGCGAGCGAGTGTTCTGACATTCTTTTTGTTATAAATCTTCAAATTCATTTATTGTTATGTTGGCTAATTTTCTTAATTTTATTGTAAATTTAAAGTAGACTTTCCAGTATTCATTTTAATAATTTCAGTATTCCATTGTATTACCTTGTTTTGTTTTCTTACTTTTACACCTATTTTACATAGTTTTATATTTTACTATTGTTATTAACTTTGAATATTTTGTTACAATATACTTACTTTCGAAGGTATAAATTTGGTCTCATTAATGATTTTACTTTTTTTTTTTTTTCAAAAGTTTTTGCAATCGTAAATTTCCACTGAACTCGTTATTTATTTTTATTTTAAAACAGAAATTTACTCGAAAAATCAGTTTTTGAACGATTTTAAAAATTTCTGAAAAATAAAAATTGCTCGATTTTTTCGTTTTTTTTTGTACAGAAAATTTAAAAATCTTGATTTTCAACTAAATTCAGAAAATTTTTTCATTTTCCATCTAAATTATACTCGAAAAACAAGTTTTTAAAAGAATTTGAAAATTTTTCAAATTTTTAAAAACGTCGTTTTTCTTGTTTTTTTTCTATAGGAAATTTAAAAATTGTGATTTTCGTCGATTTCTTCAAATTTTTTTTTTCAAAAGTTTTTGCAATCGTAAATTTCCACTGAATTCGTTATTTATTTTCATTTTTAAACAGAAATTTACTCGAAAAATCAGTTTTTGAACGATTTTAAAAATTTCTGAAAAATAAAAATTGCTCGATTTTTTCGTTTTTTTTTTGTACAGAAAATTTAAAAATCTTGATTTTCGACTAAATTCAGAAAATTTTTTTATTTTCCATCTAAATTATACTCGAAAAACAAGTCTTTAGAAGAATTTGAAAATTTTTCAAATTTTAAAAAACATCGTTTTTCTCGTTTTTTTTCTATAGGAAATTTAAAAATTGTGATTTTCGTCGATTTCTACAAATTTTTTTTTTCAAAAGTTTTTGCAATCGTAAATGTCTACTGAATTAGTTATTTATTTTTATTTTCAATCAGAAATTTACTCGAAAAATTAGTTTTTGAAAGATTTTAAAAATTTCTGAAAAATAAAAATTGCTCGATTTTTTCGTTTTTTTTTGTACAGAAAATTTAAAAATCTTGATTTTCGACTAAATTCAGAAAATTTTTTCATTTTCCATCTAAATTATACTTGAAAAACAAGTCTTTAGAAGAATTTGAAAATTTTTCAAATTTTAAAAAACATCGTTTTTCTCGTTTTTTTTCTATAGGAAATTTAAAAATTGTGATTTTCGTCGATTTCTTCAAATTTTTTTTTTTAAAAGTTTTTGCAATCGTAAATTTTCACTGAATTCGTTATTTATTTTCATTTTCAAACACAAATTTACTCGAAAAATCAGTTTTTGAAAGATTTTAAAAATTTCTGAAAAATAAAAATTGCTCGATTTTTTCGTTTTTTTTTGTACAGAAAATTTAAAAATCTTGATTTTCGACTAAATTCAGAAAATTTTTTCATTTTCCATCTAAATTATACACGAAAAACAAGTTTTTAAAAGAATTTGAAAATTTTTCAAAATTTAAAAATTGTCGTTTTTCTCGTTTTTTTTTCTATAGGAAATTTATTAATTTTGATTTTCGTCGATTTCTTCAAATTTTTTGTTTCAGAAAATTTTTGCAATCGTAAATTTCGACTGAATTCGTTATTTATTTTCATTTTCAAGCTGAATTATACTCGAAAAATCAGTTTTTAAACAATTTTAAAAATTTCTGAAAAATAAAAATTGGTCGATTTTTTCGTTTTTTTTTGTACAGAAAATTTAAAATCTTGATTTTCGACTGAATTCATCAAATTTTTTTATTTTCCATCTAAATTATACACGAAAAACAAGTTTTTAAAAGAATTTGAAAATTTTTCAAAATTTAAAAATTGTCGTTTTTCTCGTTTTTTTTCTATAGGAAATTTAAAAATTTTGATTTTCGTCGATTTCTTAAAATTTTTTGTTTCAGAAAATTTTTGCAATCGTAAATTTCGACTGAATTCGTTATTTATTTTCATTTTCAAGCTGAATAATACTCGAAAAATCAGTTTTTAAACAATTTTAAAAATTTCTGAAAAATAAAAATTGGTCGATTTTTTCGTTTTTTTTTGTACAGAAAATTTAAAAATCTTGATTTTCGACTGAATTCATCAAATTTTCTTATTTTCCATCTAAATTATACACGAAAAACAAGTTTTTAAAAGAATTTGAAAATTTTTCAAAATTTAAAAATTGTCGTTTTTCTCGTTTTTTTTTTCTATAGGAAATTTATTAATTTTGATTTTCGTCGATTTCTTCAAATTTTTTGTTTCAGAAAATTTTTGCAATCGAAAATTTCGACTGAATTCGTTATTTATTTTCATTTTCAAGCTGAATTATACTCGAAAAATCAGTTTTTAAACAATTTTAAAAATTTCTGAAAAATAAAAATTGGTCGATTTTTTCGTTTTTTTTTGTACAGAAAATTTAAAATCTTGATTTTCGACTGAATTCATCAAATTTTTTTATTTTCCATCTAAATTACACACGAAAAACAAGTTTTTAAAAGAATTTGAAAATTTTTCAAAATTTAAAAATTGTCGTTTTTCTCGTTTTTTTTCTATAGGAAATTTAAAAATTTTGATTTTCGTCGATTTCTTAAAATTTTTTGTTTCAGAAAATTTTTGCAATCGTAAATTTCGACTGAATTCGTTATTTATTTTCATTTTCAAGCTGAATTAATACTCGAAAAATCAGTTTTTAAACAATTTTAAAAATTTCTGAAAAATAAAAATTGGTCGATTTTTTCGTTTTTTTTTGTACAGAAAATTTAAAAATCTTGATTTTCGACTGAATTCATCAAATTTTCTTATTTTCCATCTAAATTATACACGAAAAACAAGTTTTTAAAAGAA